CGTAATCAAGTGGCTACATGTAGCCACTTGCGTGTAACCCCGTTACAATTAGCATAGTACTTGATACTATTTATATTCGCGTTTGACAAACAAGTAGAAGCCAGGGACTGCACAATGCGCATTTGAACGAGAATAGCATTGGGTTTACCTTTAAGCCTACTCTTCGTCTTCATTCTGAGTCCTGCGTTTACGTTTTTGTGCTTGCGCACGCGCTTCGTCTTCTCCAGCTGCTTGTCCCACTTGCCGCGAGCTCTTTTCTGTTCCTTGTTAGACTCGTCAGGTAGTTGCAGTGATTCTTATTCTCTTCTTCAAAACGAGATTCATCCCAGTTACGACCGTCCATGACGCAAATACGTAGGCAGGCGAGATGCCCATGCTCGAAAAGATCTACGTCGCGACCCTGAGGATGCTCTTGATGCATACGCGAACGAGCCGTTTCTATCTGCTTTGCACACGATGGCGTCTCCAAATGCGGCACTGTGTAGATCATAGTTGTTTGGAACGATGACACATAAAACATAAAACCCTCTCCGCTTGTCCTCTTCGTTTGTCCCAACACACATATCCCAAAAGCACCCAGTGGTGGACCAGATTACTCACGCGCACCTCGTAACCTGGACGCTGGGCGAGCATCCCCGTCGTTTTGCACTCGAGCATTATGTTGAAGGAGTCCTTCTTGATCGCTCACTTGAACAGTTCCGAATATTCTTTTGGGAAGAACATCCACATCTTAAAACAGTTTTTTTGCACTAAACACTAACTAATAGGTGGAACCAACGTGGATGTTGGAAACGAAGTGATAGTACGTGCTATCTATGTATCAGTACTGCTCAAGCTTCTAACTGTGCTGGTGTTATTGGTATATTCTCATGAAACGGAACATGTACAGACGAACCCCTCGGTAGTCATTAGGCCAACTTATTCCTGTCTAAGGGTATTACTATGCATGAATGTACCACAAAAATGGGTCCGAGTACCTTTAGCTCGACACAGTGCACAAATTTTTAATGAGGCGATTGAAGTAGCTCATTACTGTCGTTTCACCCTGTTTTGCTCTCCTATTGCCAGTTTTGCCTCGCCACAAGATACCCTCCGCTCTAGCCCAATCAGTCAACCTCACAATCACAAACACTCAACGACTGCTGTACAAATACAGAGCTGTGGAAATATAGATTGTTTATTTATTGTTCTCCTCACTGCATCACAATCAATTTTTGTAGTATTTACAATCTCAAGTGGGATGATTGTCAATAGATTGGAGCACATGCTTTCCTAATCCACTCAGCCACCGCATCTTCATACCCACTGTGGTGGGGCTGAAGGTGTGATATGAGGTTCTTGTAGCCAGCTTGTTTGGGTTGGTTGACAACTAGATCGCATATTTAGCTAGTGCGATCAGTGATAGTTGTGTTCCTTACAGCACGCGTACAATATCGGCGTTTTTTATGTTTAAGCGACGACTGAGTGGTGGTTGGAGGTAGGTAGAAGAATATCAGGATGCAAATTGAAGAGTGAGGAAGCTGGTAAACAGTAGGAAGTGCCATAGTTTTGGCGCCAAGAGCGCGCGAACCATCGCGTTTTCCCTGTGGGTTCGTTTGAGACAATCATATTGGTGGAATCAATATATAATGGTTCTGATTGGCCAATAGAAGTATAGCGACAAAATTCGCAATAAGATTGTGGATTGTGAAATTGATCCAATCAATAATTACAATCAACCATATCCCTCAATCAGACAGTAGTGGTTGTCAGAGTTAAAGTTCAGAAGGTTTTTCAGAACATACAATTAACCAATGACTGATCGTTAACTCTGACAACCCCATTCAGTTCAGATCTCCAGAAGTCAGGCATACCTCTCAGCGTTTTTCAAAACCCTTTTAGCACCATACCAAGAATCTCAAACCGTGAGCGGCTTCGTCGAGAAATTAATACCAGCTTAGCACTCTCAGAGCCGCCGTCGATCAAGCTCGGTGCGTCGGCACGTACTCGCCTACAAGAAACCATTGATGATGACGACGAGACCGACATGTTACTGGAGCTACTCTACGTAGTAGGGACGTCTCGCTACACCATTCCTAGGAACCGCCGAGGCCTTCGATCCTCACAAGTGCCTCACTACCTCTACGACTTGCCATCGGACAAGTTCCTGTCAAATTTCGAGTATCAAGGCCTGCATTCTTTGCTATCGTAGGCCTGCTACAGACGAAGTCTGTTTTCGAAAGTCCTGTCAGCAAGATGAAAAAAGCGCGCGTAGAGGTTCATTTGATGATCGCAATTAAGTATTTTGGATGCTATGGAAATGGTGCCTCTCGGGACGCCTTGTCCCGTATTGTCCAGCCAGTCCACAGCCGTACGGTACTTCGACTCCAGCTTTTGCATCTTGTCGCGTATATCGGCAGGTTTCCTATGGCGTATGGCAGCGTCGATAAGCTTACGTATAATTGTGCCACATAGCACCCCTTTTCAAACCCGACGCTCGATCCCCCCCCTTCCACTTAGTATAATTTCCTTCAGTGGTGAGCCAGTCCAGCAATATCTTCATTGCACTAGGGTCTCCATTCACGCCGTCGCGGTCCCATAGCACCTTCTTCTTCGCTGCAGGGCTGCTGCTGGTGGCCATGGTAGGAAATCGGCAAGCCACTTTGCAAGTTAGTGGTCCACACACCTTTTCAGAAAGCCATCTAAAGACCAAAAGCTCCGGTATCGCTATCTAAATTTCAGATACATTTTAGCCAATGAAGATGCTTCAACTAGTAATTATCTCATCTGAAATTCTATCTGAAAGCAACTCTGACAACCACTAATCAATACACTTTCCTCAGCTCTGGTACAAATATGCTAGCTTACATCCCAAATTCAGATTCATGGGCTCAGAAAATCTACGATCTTCTTCTGGTTTCATCGCAAGCAATGATCTGGCAGCTATTAAGAATTTGCTGAGAAGCGCTGGAGCCACCTCCATTCTTGCAGTTGGCCACAAAATCGCGGTACGAGGCGTGCGCTAGTCTACGCCCGACCGGGCACTTTTTAGTTTGGTCTCCTGGAGTGAAAAGGGTGTTGCCGGTACAGGTATGTAATTAGAGAGAAGGTTAAGCGATTCCCTGCGATCCTAAAGATCAAAATCACGTCCTAAGTAGTCTAAAAAATAGGCTTCATCGGTTCAACATTCCAATCGGACGTGGCAGCAATAATGGTCTATGTGCAGTTAAGACTGTTCCCATGGTTAAATACGAAGAATTTATTATAGGTCAGAAACAAGTTAGGTCATGGTGTAAAATACCCACTTGGTCACAGGATCAAATACATTGGTCACGTACATATACCTTGATCAAATAATACTGGTCACACATCAACTTCGACGACTTAGTGCAGCATGCAGGACAATGTGGAAGGTGAAGCTCGCGACAGCGCACCGCTCAGCGGTTACGACAAGGCACTGACAGCCGATCCAACACAGCCTCCTACCAAGTCCTCGTCAAGTTGCAGCACCGGCTATAAGATTCAACCCTCTCTCTAAGGCGGTCATCCTTGTACATGGCAATGTATTGCGCTGGTAGATTCAAAGTTTACTATCCATTGCCGCGATTCTAACCTGTAATGGACATTCAGCTCACTTTGCAAATGGCCGTTGAAGCCACACTACAAGCCAACATCTACCATGGCACACTCGCGTAAGAAAAAGCGGGAGCTTAGCCCAACGTCCTCACCTACATCTCGACCTTCGACACCGTCTTACACAACTGCTACCAGGTCAGCCGCGAACGATCCGTCGGTAATGCTGCCTGTGGTAAACAGCGACAGGTTAGTGCAGCCCGCATCGATTAGTGCAGCGGTTGCCACCACGTTCCCCGTGCCATCAGGCGACAACGCGTTTGCAGCCTTTGAGGTTCCAACACTCCGCTTGCTGGAAGACTATAACTCTAGTCAGCACAAATCTAGACCTTCACAACCGGCACTGCCACCACCATCAGCCCCCTCAAATCGAGACGGAAGGACAAAGATATATTATCAAGGATATCAGCTTACTCGCGCCAATGTAACCGGGGCCAAGATTTCTTATCGGTGCAGTAATTACAGAAAGCCAATACTGTGTCCCGGTAGATTGATGTTCTACGCAGACACAATGACGTACGACTTCGCCAATATGATTCCACATACCTGTCTAAACCCTGGTGATGTCAGCGCTACAGCCGTAGCGGCCGACGACTCAGTGTGTCTGAACCTGGTTGACGAGATGAAAGAATTTGTAGACAAAATGGTGGAGGAAACAGACAATGGAGCTACGCAAATTTGGGATGAGGTCTACAAAAAATTCTATTTGGAGTCGAATCGTGTAGTGCGTGGGCTTTTAAAACGACAAGTGGTCTCTCGAGTTGGAAACATTAAAGCTGCTCAAAATGGCAAAGATATCTACTCAATGCTAGAATCTCCGAAACTGTCTAAGGTTAAGAACGATGTCGTAAGTTTTTTTTCAGTTTAATTACACCTGGCACAACGACGCCAAGGCAAAGCAGGGCAAACCAAGCTTCGAGCGTTTGCTCGGTTGGGCTCATCCGAAACTGCGAAACCTCCTTCGATACGATAGTGTGCATCTGTTTGTCGACGGAACCTTCCGGAGTGCGCCGAAAGGATTTCACCAGTTTATTACTCTCATGATGTACGATCCGTTGACGGAACTGTTCGTGCCACTTTTTTTTACGTTGGTGACTTCACAAACGCAAGATTTGTACAAGAGGTTGTTTCAATGTATTGAATTTGCGGCGGGTGTCAAGCCAAACCCGAAAGATGTGGTGTGTGACTTTGAGGCAGCATTAATAGTTGCTGTGCGCGATCACTTTCCGTCGACACGCATCATTGGCTGCTTGTTCCATTTCAAGCAGGCATGTCGACGGAAAATGAAAAAGTATCAACTCTCCGATATTGAAGCAGGCGTTGCAATGAGGTTTGAAGTACTAGATTTGCTCACTGTGATCGATCCTGAAAAAATTAGCGTGCAAGGTGTTGCCTGGGCCAAAACCAAGATCAAGCAGCGCTGTGAATCTCAAAATGTGTCTTATTCGCGTTCAAAGTGGAATCAATTTTGGAACTATTTCCACAAAACTTGGATTGAAACGTATCCACCAGAACTGTGGAATATTTATGGAGTACGGCGAAAAATTGTAAATCGAACTAATAACCCTTTGGAACGATTTCACCGCGAAGTAAATGTCCGATTGAAGTGGCAACCTTCCCTCCGGCACTTCGTAAAGACGATTGAAGAAATTGCACGTCACTACCACATTCTACGGAAGAGCATTATAACCGGGGATGCTGAAGCTCCGAAGAGACCTCGTCTTCGGTTTCCAAGAGCAGCTACGCTCCCCAACATCAGCGACATCGAAGATTCTGAGAGCGAAGATGATAGTGGCGGTGCAAGTGCTGACGAGGAGGACCCCCACTTGTCGGATGAAGAATTGGAACTTGTCTACGACGACTGCGCTGAGCAAGAAGAGGTCTTATAAGTCACCATACACGTTGAGCTAGGTTTCTAAGAATGGTTTCAGTGCATTCAGCTTTACTTCTTTGCATCTGTTGATATCCACATGTGATCAAACGCTTTTGGTCACATGACCAAATGGCTGTGACCTAATTTGTTTCTGACCTAAAATAAAGGCTAT